AGCTCATATCACTATTGTCTCTAGTCTTGTCGATTAGATAGAAAAATATATCAGTTCCACAATTGAGGGATGTATTGAGTTTTTAATATAGGCAAAGCGAGTGGTCGTAAAACACCATTAACAATTCTAAATAAATGACGAACTATAGAAGAAATACTATGTTCACGACTCTTCGAGAACAATGGTGTAGTGAGAAGTGTTGTCCTATCTCTTCTAAGAGTTGCTGTTATTGTTGTCGTTAAATGTGCAAATCAGATAGTAAATTCTGCTTTTATAATCATTTCTAACAGTTCATACCAAGACCCCAATAATTATTGCAATGGAAATAAATACAAGCAACTTTTTTCCGGTCAAGTTGTTGATTGACAAAGATTGATTAGTTTGAATCTAAAACTATTCGTCGAGTATGATGAGGAGTGATATCCTTCTTCATGGAATACTAGTATCAAGATCGAGTTGACTCATAAACTTGATATTGTTCTTCCTATAAATGTTGTTGTCTTCATTTTTCAAACCAGTAAAGAAAGTTACAGCTATATAGAGAATAATATCTACAGAGATGCAAATAATGATTCTGCAAGTGAGATTGTGTATTCCTTGTTTTATTCTACACTTTGCCCTTTTGAATAGAAATTTGATTGTCTTTTATCAGTGAGAATAGTATGATATTCATTTTCAATAAGAAAAATAGAATAGAAAGAAGATTAAGGTGAGTGTAAAAAAGATAAAGAATGCCTCAAATATTCAGGTCTTCTAAGCTTTGGACAATTTGTAAAGATTAGATATGTCATGGAATAGACGTACACTAACCATTTTGTTTCAACAGCCTACTTCTTACTTTATGGTATTCAAATACACGTCATGCATATTAGTAGAATGGGTAAGCAAAACAAAGTACCAAAAATATTCTACTGTTACCAGTATGAGGTAATAGTAGGGAATACTTTTTCTACTAATGACGACCAGAATATCGTTGATGTTTCTAATGAGAATCAAAGTCAAGACTTTTGGCTCATAACACTATCTCTGTAGTCTATTGAACTAGGGAGCCATTTCTTTCTTTTTTCACTTTATATCTTTCATCATACATTTTCTTTCAAAGCAAATTGTTGTATTCTTTTGTTTAGCGAGTTGTATAAAAGTTGAAATGAAAGGAATCATTTTCTTCATCTTGTACTACATAACATATCAACATAAAAAAAGAGATTCAATAGCTTGTATCAGCAAGGTTACATTGCTTCTCTTTGCGGCTCGTTTGTGACCAATCGTCTACAACCTAGTTGAATCTTGTTCTAAATCAAATGATTCTGTGGTCTATGAATAGTATAGTTTATCGCTGTCATACTTTTTTACAATTAAAGTTCAGTTTTTAGTGTTCAGTAATTATTCCGACTTTCTTGAAAAGATAAGATAAAAATATGATGACTACTCTCCGACCAGTCAATAGAAACAAGCAATAGACTTTTAACATAATATGTTTATCAGAAAAAATAATGATTCTATGACGCAAGTTGAGCTTGGTGCCAAGGCAGCAAAACGAGAACGTGCTACACCAATACTGATAGGAATCAGTGAATTCAAACAAAGTTTAATTGATTTCCGTACAGATACAAGAATGGTGGATGCTGATTGATCTATGCTCATCAATAGTAACATGTTCTCAATATTCTAGAAATACATTGTCATTCAATATGAAAGTCAATCCACAAATGTACCTAAATTGAATTATGGTCGACCACCTGCCCAGTAGTGCACACAGCATGCAAATATCAAGGGAAAATTGATGCTTTGCTGCAATTCGGATTCTCACCTAGTGATTCTCAAATGAATTGATCTTCGACTTGATTTTAAGTGATCCAAATAATAGTCTGTAAATCATTCTTTTAGAGTAAAGACTAAATTATTTTAGACAATTCAAGATAATCTTGGACAATTCGATGCTGAATCAAGCATACAGGGTGCCTAAAGACCACATAAAACACTGCTTCGAATATAAAGACTCTGTACATACAACAGCAAGATTTCAAGTGCAAAGGTACAAAGTCTTTATCAACTTGACAGCTACTAGTCAGTAAAGTATCAATTCTATCTTAAAGAAGCCATCTTATACAAACACTATCTAACAGAAACTCTATTGGATAACCCAATGTCCACATAATGACAATTCAACCAACTCTCTCTTAGATACCCCTAAAAAATAACAACGTATATTAGTCTTGCTATCAAACAATTGGTTTTGAATGGAAACGTTGATTCCACTTTTGTATGCATCGAGTTGTGCCGTTATCTTGTCTAACACATTGACTCCATTCATTACTAAGGCTATATTTTAATAGACAACTTTGAACGTTTCTAACAAGCAACGCATTAAAATTTGAATACTTGAAATAAACTGACATCTGATTCCTGATTCTTCTCTAGGAAACGAATATAGAGTACCCAGCAATGACTGGTTGGAACGAAATGATACAACTAAAAGTACTTTAAAACAAGTAATTATGAATTGAATCAAATACAGTTTGACATATTTATATCTGAACAAACAACTAGTTAATATCAAAATATATAAACTAGTAGTAACATATTCGTGGCGCTGCAAAGGTATAATGCGATTCATCGCTTGAGTAGATTCATGAAACTATCTAGGATGAAACGATCAACGAAAACGTATCCAGTATCGCAAATCAAGTGCAAGCAATGAGAGGAATAATTCGGTATTCTGCTACTACCAAGTTTTTTTCAAACCAAGTATTATTTAGCTAAGCCTCTTTATCCTTAGTAATAATACTACTATTAATACTATATGGAAAATCGTTTTTCTCGGGATAAGGACAGACTCGTTCGATAAATTCAGTATAATCTCTAAGAATTCAAAAGTTGAATCAACCATAGACGACATTTCATTTACTTATGAAACAGAATTTCTTCTTGATGAGATATTCGACTAGTAATCAAAAAGTGACCAACTCTTACACAAAATGTCAGCTTAGATGAGCAGTATCAAGAAATATCTTACTTTCTTTCCATTGAACAGTAAATCATTGAATTCAGTATACAATTCAAGTAATATAAAACAGTAACCAGTTTCTAGATACGTTGAGAAGGAAGAAACCGAATAAACCTTTTGTTACGTATCTACTAGAATAATTGTGCCGTGTCCCGTTGAGATTTAACTAGAAGTGGTAAGATTCAGAGTACTCTAAAGCAAGTGATTATTACTTCCTTCAATACAGCTGTAACCAGAATTGTTTCGGATATCTCTCTGAAATAAGATTCAAATTCAACTCATCAATAGAAACAAGGTATTATTCGTACGGCATAAATACATTGTTATTTATCACTTGAATCAATTTTGGTAATAGTTCAAGATAAAGAGGTGGATGAAAACCACCAAAGGTTGCGAAAGGGTTCAAACATCAAAGGATATACGAAAGGATCCTGAAATTAGAACATGACTATTAATTTGTGTTTTGCTGCTACTTGTGTAAAAATCATAGAGTTGATCTTGCTTTTTGTGAGGATCAACCTCAAAATCTGTAAATCATAGGTCTGATATTCTAACCCTGTGAAGCCAGGGAAGCATTCATTTGCTTCTTTTCTTTGAATTTCTTTCAACTAACCTTTCTATATTATGCAATTGAAAAGTATATGCTATGTAAAACATAAATTTTTGTCTTTTATGACAATTCATATGAATAAGGGAAAACAACCAGTATTTCGTGCTAAGGCAATTCAATTTCTATTCCCAATAGATCGTTTGTACAGAACTTTGACTGCAATATAGTTGATTCTTTCTTTGAATTTACATCATCCCGCAGTCTTCGAATACTACTTTCTATCATTTCATCCCTTTTCTTGTACAATGAGCATTCAACTGTTTTTACAACATATTCCAACTCTAAAAAACAAGATATTTATCATTCTACAATTACGCCGATAAAGAAGAGAAAAGACGAAATAGAGATATTATCTCATCCTTATCGACTAAATGACTAACTTCATATCAACGTGGTCTTAGGGTCGAAGAATTAAGATGGAAACGTTCTGGAGCACAAATAACCATAAGATGGTTTCAACATAAGAGCATTACAATATGTTCAGATAAATCAGTAGTAGATTTCAGATCACAGAAAACAGTATGTTGTACACTTTCATGATACTGCAAGTTCACTTGTCAAAGATTAATTGATTCAACAGACGAAATTGTCTCGAATTGATCATTTGGACTATCAATTGCCCATCCCTACAAATGCAACGCAACTATCACGGGACAAAGGGATTCTTTGTGATCGGGATTTCCAATGAAAGAAGCTTCTGAAAAGTTTTTACGTCGACGCTTTCCGAAAAGAAATGACGACTAGTCGCTTCATCATACTATCATGAGGTAACAAACAAGTTCGTTTCAAGAATCAAAAGATAAAGATTAGTCTCAAAAAGGTACAAGAAAAATCGAAAATCGACCAGTAAAAGCAACTCGATACTCTATTTGTTGTTCAAAAGCAGGATCGTATGTAGTCCTTCTGATAGTAAGGTACAGGAATAGCCTGTACGTGTGCAAATAATGCCCTTTTCCTTTGTAAACTCAACAATACAATTTTCCTGTATGGTAAAAGATAGGTCAAATTCGTACTTTTATGGCAAAAACTATTATTAATATTCCTGTACCACAACCCAATACACTATAACTTTCTCTTGTTGTCGTTGTCGTTGCTGTCTTTTTACAATTCCAAGTAAATAAAACAATTGCAATTCTCCAGTCATGCCAACAACGAAGAAAAAAGTAAAAGATAGAAACACAAGTCATTCTCTTTGTAGACTTGAGGACTCTGTCATACTGTACTAGGCTCGGGCTCATATTTGTTGTTGTTGCTGTTCTGGTTGAATTTTAAGTAGTAACGAATGGGTTGATTTTGCTGCGATAATAGGAAAATGCTTTATGGTTCGTGTCAATGTATGTGCAAACCACTTTGTTCGTCTGCGTATGCTTTCTAGGAAATATCTACCAAAAGTTGGACTTTATTTTCAGAGTCAAACCAAAACTCTAGTCGGACACGATGACATCAATGTTTGCACTCGTGTAATATTGTTGAAGTTCAACCAATCCTTCATGAATGTCTTTCAGAGCTACTTTGTATACTATCCAAACGCAACCTGTTTGCACAAAATGTTGTGTCTCCTTTTCACCTTTTTGACAGCTACAACTACCACTATTTTCAACAGAATGACATTCAGTGTGTTGAAAAGAAAAGCAGATCAGCAGCACTCTTGACAAGGCAAATACTGTTATACACAAGTCTCCTTGTTTCCCATTCACACCGTACTACTAATGTTACCCTCCTCTTCAACTATATAAGGACCAAATACGATTTGCAATGGATGCCTTTCAGAAACAACAGCAATACTGGTTTCACCACTATCACTCTTACGACTTACATATCCTTTTAAACATATTTCACCTTCAGCAAAACCAGTAATTCATAGAAACAAAGGCGTTTCTCAAAACGGACTACTAGGTACAGTCGCCATCGTCAAAACATTTTACCCAGGTGAACACAACCAAGATTTCCAACAGTGTCCTTTTGCTTGCTTTATTTCCTGGTTCCCAACAAGGTGAGTATATTTTGAGTTGAAACTTTTTCCGTGCTTTCAAAAAGCAAGTTTATTCAGCTTTCGTTTTCAAAAACTGTCAAACCTTATGGGTGTCGTTTTCCAAGACCACGCAAATAATATTTCAAAAGACATACTCGAATCAACAGAGAATTGATCTAAAAGCACAACAATACAAACAACCATACAACCATTAAAAATATGCAATAATGGACTCAAGACTTTCCTATGCTATCCTGATAAATGCCTGTTGCAGAGTTACAGACCAATTTCTCCATCGTGAAAAGAGTCATATAGAAGGCAAAGAAAACTACTATACGGAATATAATTCTGTGTACTGACTAAAAGACTCAACTGAGAGTCTGACTGGTTTCTTGTTCTTGCAGAATATCTTGGAAATAACAGCCCAAAGATTGATTCTCAACGACAGACTACAAGATTAGACTTTCAATTGCTAATAAATACGCAAAAATGCTCTGAAACAATTTTCAGTAAAACAAAATGGACTTGCGAGACAACTAATTGATTAATCTACCAACACTCAACGACAGCTTAAACTCCATTGTCTTTGCTCTCTTCTCGACAACGCTAATCTCAAATTTCCATACAAGACCAAAAGTGAAATAAAAACAAGTGTTGCATAAAGTATATAAACTCCAAAGAGATAATAAAAGTTGTAAATACTAAAAAGAAACTACAGTCTACATGGAACTCAGAGCTCAGGACTCGATGGATTGTTATAAAAGAAACATTTGCAGAGCTTAAAAAAGAAACGCAGATAATAGAAATTCACTTTTCCAACTTAAACGAACGAAGAATTTGTTTTAGCAATTAAAGTCGGAAAAGTTTCACTAGCAAACTTGAATCAGGTCCACAGCCTTGACAACACTCACTGAAACTTCCTTTCCATCCAACAATCAAACCATTGTGTTCATTTCTAATTGGATTGTTATGAGAAGGATCGCTTTGTATTCTCTCCTTTCACTGGAGATATATTATTTTGAGTGACTAGTGAGTTTTATGAAAGAAAATATTCCACTTGGAGATATGTAAAAAGGTTCTGGAACAATAAGTGTGCTAGATGCAATCAATCTCACATCTCAGTATTGTTGTGAAACGAGAAGAACAGTGTCGTAACAAAGTTCCTCTCAACTCCCTAGCGACACTGTAGCCTTTTAACAGAGTTTGTTGAGTTTGACCAATCTTGTCTCTGCAAGGTAAATTTGGAACTACTTGTGAGCCTATTTTGATAACAAATCAAGAACGGGTTTTGCTACAACCAGTTTTTGACTCGTTCTCGATCTGAGAACCTTTCTTTGTTGGTCACTCAAAATTAAGGAAAACTCCTTAAAGGTGTAAAATGGTCATTTTCCAATCTCAACGACATTAACTCTGTTTGGCTTGCAATAAGAGAACTGGAACCTTTCCTTCTATGCAAATTCGTTAAGGAACAATCTTGTTCGATTGCGAGTTGTAAAGAAGAATAAATCGTATACTCAACTCTAGAATTGGAAAGTATACAGAGGACAGGACTGTATAAAAACTGACCACAAGCTGTGAATACTTTTGTCGATACACAAATCCGTACATAAACTACTTACGATAGGGAGGATCGAGCCTCAAACGATTCAAGGCTATTGGTTCGTTCTCCACGTAAAGAACTTGTTGAGAGTTTTGACTAGTATAACAACAGTAAAGGTGGTGGTGTTTTTGCTTCTCCTTGCAAGACGCGTTGGATCCAAGAGAAAATATAGCAAAGGTAACGACAAATACTTTAGAGGTATTTGGTTCGCGATCAAAATTCTATTTAAAAGTAATCATTTTTCAAAAGTACTCAAGACACCATATATCCAAAACTCTGCTTTTGTGGATTATACAGAAAATTCACCGACTCTCAGATAAGAAAAGTGATTCAGTTGCAAAGATGATATTCAATCTAAAAAATTTCGTTTAGCTGTCAACAGTATAAGAGAGATCTTAAATGATTCTAATCATATAACGACGAGAAAAAAAACTTTCGATTTCAGAAAACCACGATTTACACAAAAATTCCATTCATATTGCATTGCAGTTCAAACGATAACTTTGGGGTTCAATTAGAATTTTTTTGCAAGTAGTCAAAGGAAACCCTATCCATTGTCATTCCACAACAATCACAATGGCAATCAGATCATCCGTCCAGAAATTCATAGAACAGCGTATTGGCCTTTGGATTAAAAAGTGGTAGAATGCAGTTATTGAAAGGTCCACTCTGGTCTCTAATAACAACTGCACAAAGAAAAAGTCGAGTGTTAGATTTCAAAAGATTTCCAGACCAAAGTCTCTTTACACAAACTCAACTTGAAGTAAACGAAGAAGAAACGTTCAAAGTTAGACAAAATCAACCAACAGTCGAACAGGCCAACTCAGTTGTTGACGAGACTTCACTTGACGAAAGAACTAAAACAAAATCCCGCAACAGTCATCCGACAACTCACTCGAATCATTCTGAGAGTAATTTAAAGCTAGCTTATGATAAAAACCAACAATATGATGTTGAGAGGGCACTAGGTATGGTGAAGGAGTCAAGTAACGCTGGTTTTGATGAAACTATCGAGGTAAGCTTCCTTGTCACGTTTCAACTTGTTCAGTTACATACTCGT